CATTAAGGTAATCTAATGAAGCCTGCTAAACCCTAAACCCCCTACCCCCTAAACCCTAAACCCCCTAAACCCGCAACCCTAAGCCCTAAGCCCCCTAAACCCTAAACCCCTAAACCCTGAACCCTAAGCCCTTATGGGTTTAGGGTTACTTGTGGGATTCTCGCCTATGTCTCGCGGAGCGACTGTGGGATTTCAACCTTGAGTTGAGGGTGTAGGGCTTTTAGGTTTTAGGGTTTACGTGTTTTGAGGGTTTAAGGGGTTTTTGGGTTTAGGGTTTAGGGTTTAGTGGGTTTTGGGGTTTAGGGTTTAGGGTTTTGGGATTTAGGGTTTAGTGGGTTGTGGGGTTTAGGGTTTAGGGTTTAGGGCGTTTGGGGGTTTAGGGTTTAGGGGGTTTTAGGGTTTTGGTTGGGAGTTACTCTCCCTGCTGGGTGGGTGGAAGCAAATGCTTTTCCAGACTGGGGCCGTTGTGTACAGTGTGCAGATGCCGAGCTCCTCCGCGTGCGCTTCCGAATATCTCGGTAGCTGGCTCTCCAACCCGAACCTGAGAAGCGCAAGCCGTCGAGGGCCCCACCATGTAGCACCTGTGTTTGTTACCTTTATTTTGTTATTGCAGGATCCTAACCGTAACGTTATCAGCCAAAATCCACTACACTATAGCGTCTAGGTAGATTATTTCAAGTTTTGAAGACTTGAGGTGTTGCTAGATGAACAGATTGGCCTGGTTAAGATTTGTCGTTGGGGTTTTGGTGGAGCCATGGGAGAGAAGTTCTCGGATGTGTACAGAAGCCTTTGCAGCCGCATCGTGAAGATTCAAAAACGCACGGGCCAAAAAGCACACATACACAGAGTGTTGAGAACTCTACCCTCTTCGACCGACAACGCAAGAGAGAAGACCTTCAATAGCTTGCTTACTTAGTCGGGTGACCAGAGAAGTCGGACGACTGCTAAATCGTTTAGGGCTGTCTACTCGTTGTCGCAACTTGCAGTCTTCCAGAGGGACTGCAGCAGGGCAAAGGACCCCATGCTGCGATCGATCAACTCCAGACTCTAAAGCTTGACACGGTGAGCAGGAGGAAGTTCTCCCGTTATCTAAACCCTAAACCCTAAACCCTAAACCCTAAACCCTAAACCCTAAACCCTACCACAGCATCACTCTGAACAGTTTCCCTGAAGATCCCGATTCCAAAGCCCCCTGACACAATGAGCCGAAGCTTTGCTAACACTGGGGCCTGAAGGCTCGATCACCTATATGGGAGTTTCCGAAAATTAGGGGTACCTTATTTGGAGGTCCATATAATAAGGATCCTACTATTTGGGGTACTATATTAGGGTCCCCTATTTTCGGAAACCCCCATATTATTCCTCACGGCTTTTTTTATCGTTACTGCTTGTACTGTAGTATGTGCCAAAACCTTCTGAGTATTAAGGCGCCTGTATTAAGATCTTGCTGAAGCCGAAGCAGAACTCGACAGTAGGCCTGGATTAAATTGTGCGTCTTACGCCGTGCAGAGTAGAATAGTATTCAGGCAGTGAATAAAAGCCGTCATGCGCTTGAAATAAGAGGGTGTCGTACTACATTCCAGCCTCAACGAACAGTGAATATGCGATCTCTTATTCGATAGAATCGGATAATTGCCCTGGGGCTCCAAATAGCCCAAAGTAGGTACTATTTATAGACTTTAGACCGCAAAGTAGGTGGTATTTGTATACTTGGAGCCCTGGGGTTATCACAGGCTCTCCGAGACCTGCCAAATCTTCGTTCAAAAATCCAAAAGCCCGTGTAGAGACGCCGGATAATGATGGTAACAGTCAGATAAACAGAAGAAGCACAATTATGGTTAATGACTTCAATGGTTAATGACTTCATAGTAATTTTTCAATATTGCAGTACTGATGATGATAACAGGAAAACTAATGCACCCTAAGCTCTAAACCGCTAAACCCCTAAGCCCCCTAAACCCTGAATCTTGAGAGCTAACCCTAAACCCTAAACCCTAAACCCTAAGAAAATAAACCCTAAACCCCTAAATCCCCAAACCCTGAATCTTGAGGCTCTCAAAAAAAACTCAGGTCCTGGAGCTGGCGCCGCTGCCCTTCGAGACCTACCCGGACTCCGCGCGGGAAGCGCTGCCAATGCCGGCGCGGCCGTGGTTGGTTCGGGAGATTCGGTTTGGGGGTTCATAGGGCAGCTGAGGGGTAAGGGGTTAAGGGTGTTGGGTTTAGGGTTTGGGGGTTTAGGGTTTAGGGTTTTGGGGGTTTAGGGTTTCGGATTTTGGCTGCTGCAGGGTTTCACGGCGAAGGATTCACGAGACTTTTGTGTAGAAATAAAGGGGTTTAAGCTTTTTGATGAAAGTGACTGACGTCCATATCTTCAGGCACCAGCAGCCTTTGGGGCCTGCTTGGGGTAGATTCGGGCACTGCACCGTTTCGGTGCTGATTCGGTTGCACACCGTGTACGCGGTGTCTGGCATGGTGCGATGGATTGTGGGGACACGGACAAGGGAGCAGATGCTGAGCCGGAGCCGCAGCAGCCGGACCATTTTGGGCTGCGGATGAAGTTTTCGTGCAGCGGCCGCACCCTATGAACCCGAAACCGAAAAACCCTCAGCAGTTACTCAGGTAATTGGGTTTAGGACCACAAGCATCATACAGGCACGTGGGAGCAGCCGGCTGGATCTCCTTCGTCCCACGTGCTGACAGCTTGCACGTCTGCAGCCCAAACATCTTCAGCGCTCTGCTCGTGAGGTCATGTTCAACCCGTTCGAGGTGCTCGAAACCACTGTCACACTGTCCCCACTCACTGAAAATGCATTGTGTTCGAAGGGGTGCTAGGCATGCGGGCAAGCTGTGGTAGCTTCAGAGGTAAGCAGCGGGCATGGTTTAGTGACAGCAGAGCGGCTTGCAAGAAGAGTCATCGCGCTGATCCTGGTCCTCATGCTTCCCTTCGTCGCCATTATCGTCATCACGATCATCTTCATCATCATCACCATCATTATCAACCATAGCAAGGTAACCATCGATCTTCGTAATCTCCATTACCATCATCACGGTGAAAGAATCGTATGCGGCTTGGCTGCCACCACCATCAGAATCACAATCGCCCACAAGCAACCACAATCGTGGCTATCCTCCCTTGCCGTCATCATGCGCACCTTTCTCGTTGGACTTCATTCGCTTGCCTTGTTACCAGTCACCTCATTGAACCATCACCATCAAAATCAACATCACTCTTCGTTCGGAATGCGATCACATGGCTACTTGTGTGATCAGAGTCATCCATATCCACATCATGTTCGGCATCACCCGACTCTTCCTTCATTACTATAATGAAACTAACAAACCATCGACGTGGTGATTGTGATCGTCGTCGCTGTCGTGACATTGGCCGGCATCGTCGTAGCTGTCGTGCTGGGCGCAGCATCCGTGGCCGCGGTGGTCGTCGAAATGCCAGGGTGAATTTTATGTTCCCCTGCGCTTCACAGCTTCTTCACTGCGCACATGTCAAGATACCATAAGAGGACTCTAAGGTCAACCAAGCAGAGGCACAACGTCACTATGTGTTTGCCCCACAACCGCACCCTAAACCTAAAGCCCACCAACCCCAAAGAGTACACACTAAAATCCCGAACCGTAGCACAAACAAAAAACACCCTAATCAGGGATCCAAAAAGCACATAAGCATAAGCATTTTATAGGGATATCCCTACCTTATTGCTTTTTTGGGGCCCTACCTAAACATATTTCCCTTCATCCCGACCAGTGTACCGAAGATTGAATCTGGAGCCTGAATCGGCGACATGAAACCATACACCTCCCCCAAACCCTAAACCCTACACCCTGAACCCTTAATGTAACATGGGTTTAGGTTTTAGAGGTTGCCGGTATTCTCCCCCCACTCTGCCGGATCTGACTCAAGGGTGCCTGCTGAATTTACATGAGTTTTAGCACAAGTAACATACTACTCCTTACGGGGGTCCGCAGGAACTACGTTACTCCAATATAGGCCAAAACCGCCTCCAAAGTCGTGACAACACCCCTTCTCGAAGTCCGATAGATCCCTTCTCAGACTCAAATACCCAAACCCCGACATTTTGCGTCTCCACAAAACCCCACAACCTGAACGTTAACCTAACCGGTATGGCTTTAGGGTTTAGGATTTAGGGTTTAGGGTTCAGGGTTTCCAGCCCAACTTCGCACCGCGCAGGCCGTTCCACTGGAGCCGCCGTTGCCGCCGCCCTCCACGGTGCAGACCATCGTGCTACCTGCCCAGAGCAGGAGGGTTTGTTGGGGTGTTAAAGGGACAAGGATTTGACGCGCTCTGTGGGATTATGGAACTAAGCATACTTATCAAAATCAGGTTTTTTTTATACATCTAGTGTGTGCATAATTGTTCTAGACAAGGTTGTCATGTGTTCCCCCGCGGATCGACAACAAAATTAGCTTTGTATGCATGAGATTGCATGATGGCTCGTCGTACGCTCCATGAGATCCTCGGGCAACTCTGTAAGCGCCTAATTTTCTAAAGCCTGGTGCCAAGGTTAAATAAAACCCTCAACCCGAAAGCACTAAAACCCCGAATTCAGCAACCTGACCTAGAACCTTTACGCCCTAAACTCGACTCAACCGGCTTCCTCTTCTTGGTTCAGATGTCAGGTGCCGGGTTTTTGTAAAGGCTGGACCCCCAAATGCCAGGCCTGAGGGCGTAGGCTACTGTATCGGGCTAGAGATGGGGGTTTCCGAAAATAGGGGACCCTACTATAGTACCCTAATGAATAGGATCCCTATTATAAGGACAGGTACCCCAATTTTTCTGAAACTCCCAGATGGAACCATCGACAGCAGGAAGAGGGGGAGTTACCGATTGGGGCTAAAAGTAGGAATACCGTATAGCTGTCCTCAAGAGCTGAGGTATTCGTTTGTGTGCATGCGTGTGTGTGTGTGTGTGTGTCAGTGTGTCAGTGTGTGTCAGTGTGTCAGTGTGTGTCAGTGTGTGTCAGTGTGTCAGTGTGTGTTTGGGGTTCAGTACTCTGCCACTTCATTGCAGCTACGGGACTGTGGCCGAGGCTCAAGTTCGTGCTTGTCAGGAGTCCCCAAAAAGTCGGGAACCCAAACCTTGAGCAACCATACAGGTAAGAGTATGACTAAAGGGTCGCAACCCTCATGACAGGGGCGTCGGGGTTGTGGCACCCAAGCCAGTAAGCCGCAAACCCCGAAGCACCTGTAAGGTGGAAAGTTTGAAGCATTTGAGGGCTGGCTTTGGTCGTGAAATACATGTTTTGTTTAGGGAATCGAACCAGCATATAAGCCTGCACGATTGTCTTTCGAGTTCCTATGTGTATGTGGTGTATATACTTGCCCTCGAGAAGTTACGACGTGTTTGTACCTTAACCCTATAATGTATAAGTTTTTGGATACGCTATCTACATGAACATAAAAAGGTAGCCAACGTTGTAGGGTCTAGGTACTGTGCAGCAGTAAAACAATATTTGCCTAGCGAGCCCGCTCCTTAGAAAGATTTTATACAGCCTAAACCCTAAACCTAAACCCTAAACCCTAAACATCAAGATTTCCCCGCAAGTTACCTGCTGCTCTCATAGGGCTGTATGAGGGCATACCCTAAACCCTACACCCTAAACCCATAACCTACTATGTTGTAGGGTTTGGGGTGGGGCTTTACACACTTACTCGTAGCCCCTGGAGACTGGCCCAGAGACTAGCCCCCCAAAACCCTAAAGCTTAACCGAAAAACCTGGAAAGAAATTAGATGAGGGGCAGTGAGGGAAGAGCGGCGTCTACAGAACCCCTTTAAAACCCGTTCGAACCTTGAAATAATCCTCAAAAACTCTTCAGCACTGTTGGCAAACGGCATTAACCTGAAAGCCCAAAATCGTCTAAAGCAACGCTTCTTTTCGACCTTCCAAACCCCCTCTACAGCCCCTCCAAAAGCGCCTTAAACACCCTATCAAAGCCTTTCGAAAAGCGCGACGGAGCAAGGCTCCCTTCGGAACGCTCCCCGGTGAGAGCCACCTTGCCGGGAGGGGCTCGGTTTTGGAGATTGTTGGGGTTTAGGTTTTGGGACTTTTCGGGTCTGTGGTTTAGGATTTTAGGGGTTTGGGGTTTCGGGTGTAAGGTGTCAGGGTTTCAAGGTCTAGGGTTTAGATTGTTAGGGTGGTAGGTTTCAGGGTGTGGGGATGTTTTTTCTTCAGGAGGTTCGTCATTCAACGGATTCCTCTAAGGACCCTCAATACCCATTCTAATTATTCTTTTCCAGTTTAGGAATGAGAATACTGAGACACCTGTGAGGACACACGCCCAAATCCGGGCCTAGTTCGATTTAATCCAGTCCGGCTGTTGCCTTTGGGCTCAAACCACGCGATGCCGCGGGTGCTTACGCAGTTAAACAGCGCACATCGGGTTTGGATTTACAATTTGTAGCAGCTGCGACAGCGCAGCGATAAGAAAGGATGATTATGCAAAGAGACTAAGTTATAGCTGCTCCTAGCTACTCGAGTTCAATGGTGCGACGTACCCCAATCCTATCAGATGGCACCCGGCACACGACATCGCAGTGAGAAGTTTACCTTGCAAGAAGACTCTACGATACCCCTACAATGCAAGCCACAACACCCCTAGAATGCAAGATTCACATCTTGTGTCCCCTACACCCTAAACCGGTGCGGCGTAGGGTTTCGGGTCTCTGCAGCAAAAGACCCACGCTTGAGAGCCATGACGGGTCAAGGGTACAAGGAGACGGTGCAGCCGCCAGGGACTCGGAAGCTACCTTGCCCTTAGGGCCCTGAGGGCCTTCGGATTGATGGTTTAGGCTTTAGGATTTCGGGTTTAGGGGTCTTTTGAGTTTATCAGGACGAGGGTTTATGAGGCTTCGTAGGCTTCCATAGATCTTCTGGTGCCCTAAAATTCTAAGCCGTTCTTTCTTACGGTTTCTCTGACTTAAGGATTTGGTTGTTAAATTTAAGAGTCCTCAGTCAGGTCTGGACCCTTTTGTGTCGGGTCTATCCTGGCTGTCGCATTTCCCGGAACTTTCGGAGGGCCTCCTTAAAGGAATCCTTCTCCGGTATCGAACCCCCTAGCCTGAACCGTAAACACCTGAACCCCTTAACCCTAAACTCCTGAACCCTAGGCCGTAGACCCTGGAACCCTAAGCCCTAAACCCCTAAACCCTTCAAACCCTCAACCCCTAAGCCCCTAAACCCCCAAACCCTCTAAACCCTAAGCCCTCAAACCCCTAAACCTCCAAACCCCCCCGCACAGAAGCATTACTGTGCCTCTCCGGGCCAGCACTGTCGGAAGCCCGGCGAGCGCGCGGCAGTTCTAGTCCCTGCGAAAGGCGGTTTAGGGTTTAGGGTTTATGGCTTTGGGTTTAGGGGCTCACAGCAATCACAACGACGACAGACATGGGTAGTTCTCCAAAAAAACGACGACAGACATGGGGTAGTTCTCCAAAAAAAGGGCCCCTCTTAGGGGCCTTTTTGTAAGGGTGCCGCACTATGTGTGAGACCTAAAAAGGGACCCTACTTTAGAGAACTACCCAAACGGCTTTGGTTTGTGGTTGCTGTTGCTGCCCAGCCATACAGCAAGCCTCAAAAAGCAAACCCCAAGCCTTTGTTTGGTGCTCGTGCTTTCTGGTGATTATAAATGCTGATGTGTTGAGATCCCAACCATCCTGCAAACCCTGCAGACTCGACGGCACACCCGTACAAAGTTATTTAACAGATCACCCGCCCAGATTTTGTCCAAGCTCCACACCCTCTAGGATGGTTTAGGGATTATAGGCTTTAGGGTTTAGGGTTTATAGACCCCGAAGCCTGCCTCTACGCTCTAGATCAGCCCAGGCCGGTCCCGGCAGTGCTCAAGCGGTCCATGTTCGCACCCCACGGCGCTCAGCTGCGGCCACAGCCAGACCCTCAAAAGGGGCCCAGCAGTTTTTGAAGTTCGTTAAAGCTGGTGTTATTTATGTGTCTGGTTATAGGTTCTGCAAGAGCTCCATAAGTTCTTTCTGAAGGGTGTTGGTGGGTTTGGTCAGGGGTTTTCGCTTTTGAGGATTACGGCTGAATGCAGAACCGAACCTACTTTTTGTTTAGTGGCCTTGATTTTGGAATCCGTGTTACGGCAGGGATATGGATTAAATTGGCTATAGAGTGGCATCCATAATGTTCTGGCTACCAGGAACCCTTGAACCTTAAACCCCAAACACTAAACCCCCAAACCGTGCACTGAATCAGGACTACCCGGACCCCAGAGATTCTTAACCGTAAGCACCCATGACACACGATATGCATCACTCTTCAGCTTGCATCGATGAGGAGCCTAGACCCTAAACCCTTGCCCCAAAACCCCCTAAGCGCTAAACCCGTCAACCCCCAGTTATAGACATTCTACGCTCTCCCGAAATCGTAGAGCTTAGCTCCTAAGCCCGACATCATTAACTCCCGCTTGCGAAGCCCCCGTTTAGAATGCCTAAATCCCAAACGCTAAACCCTTCAAAACCCTAAACATCCTAAACCTAAAGCCCCCCCCCCCCCCCGCCCTCCCCCTCTAACAGCGAAGCCCTGGAACCCTACACCCTAAACTTTAGAGACACCGCGCCAGTGCGATCCCGTAAAGGTACGAGCAGGAGGACGAGTGGCACGAGTTTCTGGAGAAGACAGACACCTCGAAGGCTTGAGGTTTAGGGCTGTAGGGTTGTAGGGTTTAGCGCTTAGGGGGTTTGGGGTTTTAGCGTTATACGGTTTAGGGGGTTTAGGGTTTAGGGTTTGAATGTTGGGGTTCAGGTTTGGGTGTAGGATGTGTTTCTATAGGGTGGGTCGTCCTCATGTTTCGGTAGGTTCCTATGAGTTCTCTTGGGCGGCTAGAGAGCGCAAAGTCGGGTTGTTTTTGGATTTTGGATTTGGGGTTTTGCGGACTGGGACGGTTAGGTTATTAGAGTTCTCTACTTTTGGCTCGTAGGGTCTTATGAGGGTGTTGTCAGGGTTTGAAGGCGTTCGTGCTTTCGGGTTTCACTGAATTCAGGTCTAGACGCTTAAGGCTGTGATATAGCACCATTTTGTCCATCAGCATGATGCTGCTGCTCTGGGTTATTTAAGGATCCACAGTTCATGTCGGAACTATAAACTCTTCTGACAGCCATGTTTTGTTCGGGCAGCTCCGGCAGTAGACTGCAGAATATGGGCTGGGTGCTGAGCTGTGGTTTGTGCCAGTAACTAGCAGTTTCGGGTTGAGGGCTTCTCGAGAACTCAGGCCTTACAGAGTTTACACTAGCCGTCCCAAACCTAGAAAGCGGACTTGGAAACTGAGACATGCTGTGAAGCCCTTGCCACAACTCTTGGCGACCGTCTGCGGAGGTTCATGACTTTGGCAGCAGCTTAGCAGCAAGTGAGTGACCAAGAGGAAAAGCAAACCCCTGATCATTAGTCCCACCCGTCCTGAAGTCATACTGCATACCAACATCTCCACTGGGAGGTTCATGCGTACTTACTTATACATAGATAAGTCCACGTGTTTTGGGTTATAACTACACTCGACTTACAACCCCACTTATAGCCAGCCTGGGGTTTATACGCCCCCCAAGATTTGGGCTGTAACATGATCTAAGTATACTTAGGTTTAGTGGTTTAGGGTGCCCTACATACCGCCAAGAATAGTCTCAGCGACGGGACTGCTGCGTGGAAGGTCTGGGTTTGCTGTTCTCAGGGAGGGTTTAGGGTTTAGGCAGAGGTATTCCCTAGGGCTCCGGTTGCTTAATAGTAGGTTGCTCACCGTGTTTCCTGTACCCCAGTAACCTGTTATTTAGGTAGCTGGAGCCTAGGGATTGACTGTATACTCCCCAATGCTTTTCGATATCAGAGAATAACATTACCCAAACAACTGCTCTGATTTTTAAAGGCCTCTATACTAAGCCCTTAAGCCGAAACCTTGACCCGTTTCTTCCGGTCCGACATCTTCGGGGCAAGAGCCGTGACGGCCTCAGTATCTAGGGGCCTTATGTTTTGGTCTTGGTGTTTATAGGGTTTTAGGGTTTAGGGCTTTAGCGTTTAGGGTTTAGGGCTTTAGGGGTCTACATGGGCTTAGGCTTAGGTATTTGGCTCAGGGGTGGTTTGGTGAAAGAAGACATATGAGCATTGATCTGAAGGTACTTGCCGATGTATAGTGTATATATATATATATATATATGTGTGTGTGTATATATATATATATATGTATTTGTAGAAGCTAGAAAGCTGCGTTCAGGTCGACTGTCGACGGGACGAAGCAACAACGTAAAAAAATGATCCTGAAAGCCACGTATGAAAAAAAAACAAACATCGCCGAACCGACATGAACTTGTCACATAGCATCCTAAACCCTGAACCCCTTAGACCCCTAATCCTTAAGCCCTGAACCCCTAAATCTTAAAACCCCAACACCCCAAAGCCCTAAAGCCCAGGATACTGGTGGACCTACGGCCCTTCGTCAGCACGGGCTTGCTTGGAGGTTGTGAACATTTTGACCTATAGTATATACATTGGCCCCAAAGTATCTATATATAGGGGACTACTTTAAGGCCAAAGTATCTACCATTTGGGTAGGGGTAGACAACTAAAACCCAGGAAGCCCCAAAGCGAACAAAACCGGGAGCCCTTGCGTGGAACTTTTTCTGAGGATCCCTTTTTGTCGCACTGCCGCTTGCCCTTCATTCCTCGAAAACCACACCTGCAACAAACATGCCAATGGCTACAATGAGCCCTAATCCTTTTCTTCCTCCTGTATTTCGGGTCTCCGTGTGTTATCCGAGGGCGGGACAGGGACGATGACGGAGCCCTGCGCGAAGCTGTTTTTTTGGAGGCGCTGGTCCATGTTCTGTGCTACCGCCCTTCGGGTTTAGGATTAAGGATAGCTGGGAGGAGCATTTGCGAATTTCTTGATTCTCTAAGCAGTCATTACGTACTTAGGGTGCAGAGAGTGAGTCCTACACGGAAGCTTAAACAAGTGATCTCAGTATTAATTCAGTCCTTGTGCGAAGGATCCGGGAGAATATGGGAATGTGTGTTTTGTACAGGTCCCGAGGTTCCCGAAGACGGTCTCCATCAAGAAAAGATATTGGTTTCCGCAAAATCTTCTGCAACTTGCTCCAAACTTTAGGCTTTTCTTTCAGCCGCAGACTCGCACTTTTAAGTTTGGTCTAAATTTCTGAACCTCTCTGACTTATGCTTTGGGATGTAGAGGCTCAGCGCGAAGGCATTCAGGGCTTCGGGTTCATGGGTTTTAAAGCTGAAGCTTTCGAGCTCTGAAGGTTATACAAGTTTTGAACTCCAGAGGGGCCCCCGAAATACTAGGCCGTCACTTTATGATGCCCGTTGTAGCCCGACACCCAGCCCCGTAATGAAGGGGTCTGAAGAATTCGTCAGCAGACTCCTATTCTACATGAGAGGCCCCTATAACTTATGTAGATAGCCAAATGGAGAACTTTAAACGTTGTGTCCCTATACGCTAGATCTATCTTAAAAAGGTTGAACTTTTTTGGCCTGGTTGCTGAACAAAAGAGTGTAACTATACAGAAATGTATTAAGATATAATATATACAGTTATATATATATATATATTCACAGACACCTGCTCTGCAGGACCCTTCGTGTCAAAATGCACCTCGAAGCTCTGAAAGCCGCCAGAACAGGGGTCTCTGGTGTATTCTGCCACAACTGTATTCGAGACTTTTCAAGGGAATAAGTACGATGAATTAGGATTCATTGCTCAGGCGCGTATAGTAAAGCTCAACTCCAACCCGACCCTGGGGTGTGCCAGGTGCCTCTGAGAAGAGATGTGGAGGCGCGCCAGATCCGCGCCCACCTGAGCATGAGGCCGACAAGGGGGACCGGAGGGCCTAGAGGGTACGGTTTTGGGGTTTAGGGTTTAGGGTTTAGGGTTTGCGGTATAGGGTTTTTCTACCCGATAAATCCGAAAAGCCTGAAGCCCCAAGCAGGGTTTTTTCCAGCGAGCTTTTGTTATTTACATGGTTTCCCACCTTCAACCCGAAAGTCCTCGAGCCTCCAGGGGGACGTTTTAGAAAGGATTTTCGCAGGCTATTTGGGAGCAGTGTTACCAGGTTGGACTAAGATCCTTATGCCTCTGTGGCGTTCCGAGAGGCCTCAAAGGGCACAGGGGTGTGAGGGGCTAAAGGTCCAACAGAGTCCATGGTTGCACAGTCCTAGGTACAGGGGCGTTGGTACTTTGAACAGGCCTTCGGGTTGAATTCTCGGGACCAGAAGGAGATACTCTTCCTAATCATTCCGACGCCTATGTTATCAACGTGCTCTTCAAGGCCCGCAAGCTTTAAGCCCTAAGTTAGCCTAAGCCCTAGACCTTGATTCCAAGGCCGGGATCGCAAAATTCATCCTCCAAGTTTTGGAGCAACGTGTGTAGGTTCCGTAACGGGGTCAGTTGCCGAATTAGGGTTTAGGATTTACGGGTCAGGCTGAGGCTCCAACTCAAGGTTGAATGCTGCTTAGCGGGAGGTAAGGGTTCAAGGGTGTTCAATGAGGGTACTTGTGCTACTGACTGCTGAGGGAGTTCAGGGTTTACGGCGCACAAGGCACACTGTCTGGCCTGAATACTTCGACATAGTATTCATAGTTCTTTCGGGTTCCCTTTTACAAGAGCAGCAGAATACACCCCGACACCCTGTTCTGAATATGAAGGCCTAATGAAGGCCCATACTTATACTAGTTGGATTTAGGAACTGAAGGGGTCAGGGGGCCGAGGATTCGGATTTACTGTGGAAGAACTTTGAAAAGCTTGGGGAGGCGACCAACAAGCAGAGCCAACAACAGGGCTGCAGTTAGTGCAACAAGCCCAGGGTTGAAGCATACGACAGGGGCCCTTTTTATGATTACCTATATTATCTTGGCGGTCCCTTATTATAACTATTATCGTATAATCTACCCCCAAACCCTATTCTAGTTGTTTCGTGCCCCTTCATTATTCAAACTAGAGCGCCAAGTCAGGAACTTAAAGCCCAGGACCTGGGCCCCCTGACCTACCATACTTCAAGGATCATGGGACTTAGTAAGTAGGGTTATAACTAAGGTAACTATACTTATACCCCCAATCAGGGGAACTTATAACCTTACTTGCTAAGTCCCATGATCCTCCCCCTAAGCCCTAAACCCTAAACCCTTAAACCGCCTTACTAAGTCCCATGATCCTCCAAGTAGTAATCGGGCTCTCTGAGACTTCTTCAGGCAGCTGAAGCTGGTTGTGCATGGAGACACGATCCTGGAGGAGGCTGGTAGTATAGGGGCCTTAATAATTACCTATACTGTTTTAGGGGTTCCTTATTTTAATTGTAGTATAATAGGCCCCAAAGAGCCTATTCTAAGTATTAAGGCCGATACATTAAAAGGGTTAATTAGAGTTTAGGGGGTTCGGGGGTCAGGAGTCTAGTGGCTAGGGTTTAAAGGGAGCCGGGTTTCGGCCGGCCTTGAGTGGCCTTGATAGGCCTTCTACCGCGAACATATTTACATGGCAGGGGCTTTTAAATTGTTTCTCCCTAGGGACATGTTGAGGGGTGGAGGCTCGAAATTAAAGCTTTTCGGGTCCACGGTTTTCGATGTAGGGCTTGTGCCCGAGAAAACGGGGCCTTGCAAAGTCTTTCACCCTGAACCATCCGAAACCGTCAAACCCTAAACCCAATCCCTAAACCCTAAACCCTAAACCCTCAACCCAGAGCTTGCCCCAATGCCGGATTTTTTTGTGTGAAGATCCCAAAACCCTAAACCCACGAACCCTACACCCTAACCCTAAAGCCCCTAATCTTCAAGCCCTCAACACCCACACCCTACACCCTAACCCTAAACCCCCCCCCGCCAACCCCAACACCCTAAACCCTAGGCCCCTAAACCCTTAAACCGGAAAGACTGCCAGGATTTTGAAGCCCAAACCCTAAACCCTAATCCCTGCCTTAAGAACCCAAAACCTACTTTTTTTGTAGGGTCCCTATAAATCCCATATTAGGGTTTATAATAAGAACCTACAAAAAAGTGGGTTTGGGGTTCTTAAGGTAAACCTTAAACTCCGGAGCTGCCAGGATTTTGAAGACTCTAAGTGGCTGAATGTCAGCGAGTCCTACTGGGAGATTGCAGCTTGGCCTGGGCAGATAGGGTTTTAGGATGTTTCGGGTTTGGGGTTTTAGGGTTTTAGGGTTTAGGGTTTAGGGTTTAGGGTCAGGGTTTTAGGGTTTAGGGTTTTAGGGTTTAGCATGCTTCAGGGTTTAATTAGGTTAATTCTGAACGACCAGAACCAAACTGTTGTTGCAGGCTCTTTTTGTACGTTTTCATCACCGACCCTAATACATATTTTACAGGGACCCGACAAAAAAGTTAAGAGTTTTTGATAGTGCAAGTTTCGGTTGACCCTTAAGCCCTTGCAGGAAGCCCGGGCCTAAACCCTAAACCTCAAACCCTAATAGGAACCTGTCTGGGAGTTGCTAAAGGAAGCCTTCGAATAGTGGCCTTAGTCCTTAACCCCAAATATCCTACCTCCTTAAGGGCTTTTCTAAAGAAATCGTCACGAGGAACCCCAAAGAGATAGGTTCTTTAGGGTCCAGGTAGCCGCAAAAAGAGCGGCATTGGAGAACCCGAGCGTTAGATCGAGGTTCGTTGGGGTCGAGGTTTCGCAGTGCCCTGAAGTCATAAATCATTTAGAGGAGAGAGAGAGAGAGAGAGAGAGAGAGAGAGAGAGGGCCGTAATTACATGAAGCAGTTTGCCCTAATAAGCAAGTATCCCTAAATGGTCGGGTCTTATGAAGCCTCCTTGATCAGGCATCCTTAGTTCCTGAAACCCCAGAGTCTGTAAAGGCACATACCTACTCGGACCCCGTGCCGCTCAGAAACCTAAACCCTAAACCCTAAACCCTAAACCCAACATCTCATCGCTCGGAGCCAACAGAGACTTTCTCAGTTTGCATGACTCGTCTTCTGTTGTTTGTGGTTGGGTCGTTCGGGTTCTGCTCCTTTCTGTTTAAGAATGCCTGCTTTGTCTGGTTTTGCACCGAGTAACATGTACAGTTTAGTCAGGGCCCCACAGCCGTTAAACCACTAAATCCTTAGCCCCTCACCCGAAACCCAAGCACAGTAGCTCCTGAATCCCGAAGCCGAAGCCAGGAAACCAACGCTTTGAAAATCCAAGCGCATGAAAGTGAGCCAGTGCACATCAGGCCCCAACACCAGCTTGATTTAGGGTTAGCTTGAGGTTGTAGAGTTTTGGGTGACAGTGTCAGTAGTATCGGAGCAGCAGTAGAAGAGCTACGGAGGAGAAGCAGTGGAGGTAGCAGCAATCTGCTGGTAACCCCTGCAGCTTTTCAAAGGCCCCCTTTTTACAACTCTAGACTCTAGACTCTACTCTAGAGACTCTAGACCTTAAGTTGTCATCCACCCAGGAGGTGAAGGAAGTGAAGAAAGTGCGACGAAAGGTTTTGAGGCCGGTTGCACTGACTTTCGCAGTCAGGTTTGCGGTCCCTACACTTCTCCTAGGTGGTAGTAGGGAGACCCCTGAAAGGGGACCCTTCCTAACCCTACTTAGCCAAGGGTCCCCCTAATCCTGACTCCTAGCTTCAAAGAGTCCCACGGGTCGGATAAGCGGTTTAGGGTTATGGGTGTGGGGTTGAGGGTTTAGGGTTTACGGTTAATGGTTTAGGGTTTAGGGTTTACGGTTATGGGTTGAGGGTTTAGGGTTTAGGGCTAAGGGATCCTTCATCCTACCTACCTTCATCCCACCTTTTGGCCGGCCCCCCCCGGGGGGTTTTGAACGCTGAGCCCAAGCCCCCTGGGTCCAGTCAGGATTCAGGCTTTGGGTGTCGAATCCTTCTATTCCGAAGCCTCAGAAAGCCCTAAACTTTAAAAGCCCTAAGCCTCTGTAAGCCTTACTGATTTTTAAAAGTTTTGGCGTTTAGGGTTTAGGGTTTGGGGTCACCCTGCGCCGTTTCAGGCTTTGGGAGTAGCCGAAACTTACTCTTCACCGCTAATGCGTCCCTTTGGTGGCGAAAGCCTGGAACAGGAGTTTTTGACGGGATGGAGTTGAAGGCCGAAAGCTCTAAGGAAGCAAACCCTGAACCCCGAAAGTTTCATAGAGCTGAAAACTCGTTCCTGCTGGGGCTGCACAAGAAACTTTTCAAAGAGCCCGCAAGATGTACCACTATTTAGCTAACCTTCCAGCAGCAGGTCGTGCATGAAATGCCAATGCCTCAACCTCCACCATACAAGCCCTATAAAGCAAGTCTAAACGCCCTCGACACTCTAACCGCTAAGGCCTCAAACCCTACACGGTAAATCCTAAAACTGAAACCCCTGCAGGAAACAGCACAAACGTACTCGCTGAGGGGCTCAGGGTTTCTGTTGAACATTCGGTGGCATAGCGGGGTGGAATTAAGTTCCAGTTTGGGGGTCCTTGAGTTAAGCCTGAGCAGACACGACGGGGCCCGAATTATGTAGAACTTATCGTGTTCGTTGATTCGGTGTTAGAAGACCCTAAACCCTAACCCTAAAC